ACCAGTTTGGCTCAGTGGATAGAGCGTCGGCCTGCGGACTGTAAGGTCCCAGGTTCGATTCCGGTCAAGGGCACGTACCTGGGTTGCGGGCACATCTCCAGTAGGAGATGTGCAGGAGGCAGCTAATCGATGTTTCTCTCCCATCGATGTTTCTAACTCTCTATATCTCTCCCTTCCTCTCTGTAAAAACTCAATAAAAATATATTTTTTAAAAAAACAGATGGTTTTAATGACACATATAATACTGTGTATTTTCTCTATGAATATAAATGAAAGAAGAAAAAAAGACGATCTTGGCACGTAACCAGTTTCAGTGGACACCCCTAGGAAGGAGGAAAGGGGACCAGGACTGGCAGTGGTAGTCCACAGGACTTCTAGATAATGTTTCTAGTTTAGGAAGGAAGTTGGGCGGAGGGGGGGAAGGAAAGAAGTAACCTAAAGGAAACTGAAGATTTTTTTTTTTTAAACTCAAAAGACAAGTACCCAACACTATATGGACCCTATATTTGGTGGCTGGTGCTGCTCAGTAATGTAGAATAATTTTAACAAAAGTAAGTAATAAAAGGTCATTGTTGTTTTATTTAATCCTCACTATAATCCTAAAAAGTAGGTATTAATATGATTTCCATTTTATAAAGAAATTGAACCCGAGCCAGTTTGGCTCAGTGGATAGAGCGCCGGCCTACAGATTGAAGGGTCCCGGGTTCGCTTCCAGCCAAGGGCATGAGCCTGGGTTGCGGGCTCGATCCCCAGTGTGGGATGTGCAGGAGGCAGCCAATCGATGATTCTCTCCCATCATAGATGTTTCTATCTCTCTCCCCCCTCTCTCCCTTTCTCTCTGAAATAAATAAAAATATATTTTAAATAAAATAAATAAAAATCTCAAAGATACCCAGCAAAGCCCAACAATATAAAGCAATGTGACATTCATTCAAGTGTGCAATCTTTTAAGACTTTTTTGTTTTTTTAAGAGGTAGGGTAATTTTGAGTTTTTGTTTTTCTGCATTATTCAGAAAAGGGGATGTGAGTTTCAAATAAAGAATGACTTTGGATTTGGTCTAAAAAATAAAAAATTAAACAGTTCTAAATCTGTAACTACAAATTTCCAGATTTCCTTATATGAAAAGTGTACCAAAAGGACAGCAAGTGTCTCTCTTCTCTCAAGTGGGAGATAGGAGGCAAGAGTCCTAGCTGGGGTGTACCTACTTCTTTAGATTCACTCGGTTCCCAAGTGCCTGGAAGTCTTAAAGTCTAACGGCAGATATAAATGTGTCTTAGAAACACAGAAGAGGGAGAGGTGGGAATGGTTCTGGATAGGGGGACTGGGACTGACTGGAGGCTGGGGACTGGAGGACAAGGGGGTTGGAAATAAAGGAGGGGAAATGCACCACCCATACTCCCACCCCCACCAATACAACAAACTACTACTGCAGTCACCTTCTAATCAGAATTCCTGTAAGGAGAGAATGATGGATTGAAAATTAACATGTCCTTATGATAGAGAACATTTCAATATTTCTTTATAACTTATTGCTGATTGCCTACATTCTCTTACCAATGAGAGAGAAGTGTCTTCTAAAATAAGTTCTTCAAGTTTAAGTGCAATTAGATGTGTTTCAAGCCCTTTAATATGATCCACAACATTGGAAATTAAAGTCTGAAGCCCAGTAACATAGTCTTGAAAACTGGTAAAGACGGGTGGCTGAAAAAATCATTTTTAAAAAGTTGAAAGATTATCAAACATATTCCTTATACTTACATCATTTAAGCTATACTAATTTCATACTATAGCTTTACTTAATGCTATTAACAATAATAGGGATGGATACAGTTTTGATATTAACACATTCTTGAAACCCATAGCATATTTAATTGCCACCAAATAATGCTAACTCAGCAACAATGACATAAGCATTCTTTAAAAATGAGATTTTAATTCACCCTGGTGAAGTAGAGATGAAATTCCAATAGAAAAATATCTTGGCCATTACTCAACTTTGAATTGAGAATCTCCTGGAACACTAAAGGAGATGAGAGGACCCCAAGACTTCATTTCTTCTCTTTTACATCTTTGAGATTTCCTCTAATAGAAAAATGATGGGAGACTACAGTCAAGAAAATTCTGCCCTAGCTGGTTTGGCTCAGTGGATAGAGCATCGGCCTGCGGACTGAAGCGTCCTGGGTTCGACTCCGGTCAAGGGCTCATGCCTGGGTTGAGCGCTCAATCCCTAATAAGGGGGTGCAGGAGGCAGCCAATCAATGATTCTCTCTCATCATTGATGTTTCTCTCTCTCTCCCTCTCCCTTCCTCTCTGAAATGAATAAAAAAATATATTTTTTAAAAAAAGACCAATGACAAACTGGAAGAAACGGAATCATCTATGATAAAGGATTAATAACACTATTATATTATAAGAGTCCAACAGGTCAGACCATATCAAAAGGTAAAATATTACTACCACAATAGGAAACTTGGGCAACGACAGAACAAAAAATATAGCAAAGAAATCCCAGCAATATATCATACAATTTAAAACACAGATAAATGCAAGAAAGCTAGCCAATCAAGTAATAAACCAGCTTTTCACTCAAGAAGCAGTCTTTGAAGGTTCAACATCAATAGAAATTTTTAAATGCAAATTAGAAAAAAAGGAATAGTAATGTTTGCCTATCATAGTGATGGTGAACCTTTTGAGCTCGGCGTGTCAGCATTTTGAAAAACCCTAACTTTAACTCTGGTGCCGTGTCACATATAGACATTTTTTGATATTTGCAACCATAGTAAAACAAAGATTAATATTTTTGATATTTATTTTATATATTTAAATGCCATTTAACAAAGAAAAATCAACCAAAAAAATGAGTTCGCGTGTCACCTCTGACACGTGTCATAGGTTCGCCATCACTGGCCTATCAGATGGGTAAGGGTACAGATACACTCAACACTGTTGTGGAATGTAAAAATGTAAATACATAGTAACTTTAGATCTATGAGATATCGTAAGAAAATATTATAAATTAATCTTTGTGTATATGTCCGTATTTTAATAAAAGCATAATTTATAATATTTAAAAATCAGAACCAACCAAATATTCATCAATGGGAATAAGTTATGGTGGTGTATTAATATAACGGGATAGTATATAACCATTAAAGGTAATGAGATACATATATATTAACTGAAATGAGATGTCAGTAAATGTCATTCAATAAAAAACAGAAACAAACCAATAGTTGCAAAACCTACAGAGCATGATTCTGGTTTATTTGCAGTGGCTGTCACTGCTTGGTGGGAATATGGATGATCTTCACTTTATTTACACCGTTAGGTTATTTAGATGATCATAAAAATAGGAAAGTTATTTTTATTTTTGGAATTAGAAAAGCAACAACTACAAAACCCACAAAATCCAAATATCAAAAAGCTATTTAACAAGTTCTAGGACTGTAGGCCTCCGTTAACACAGAGAGTAACAGAGCAACTCTGATCTATCCTTCCAGACTTTGTACTCATGACTGTTAAATTATCTTAAACACAGTGAATGAAGGGGCAAGGGAGATGAGAGAGCGAAACAAAACAAATGTGCAAACTGGTAAAGTGGTGAGACCAGGTAAGGCTATTTGGGTGTCATTGTACTAGTATTTCAATGTTCCTGTAGGTGTATATATTTTTTTTAAGTTAAGGAAAGAAAATAAATGCATATAGGACCCTAAGTTCCACAACATGCAGGAAAACAAAAAGCAGCATGCAGCCAGATTATTACTTGTATTTTCTGTTATTACCATGATGATGCTGGTTTCTTTTTTCTTCTTTTTCTTCTTCTGTAAATTTAATTTGTATGGTCGCAGGACACTCTCACAGTAACTGGACACCCACAGAATAATAGAAATAGTCTGAAAGAGGAAAAATTACAAATTCATGAATAACGATTACACTCAAGATATCAATCAGGAACAGTTAAATGTAATGGATTAAACAAATAAATTGACAGTCGTTCTAAGCAAATCCCTTCAATTTCTCCTCCAACTCTCCATTCTCTAATTTCAACGGTCACCACATTAATCCAGGCCTTCATCATCTCTGGCTTAAATACAGCTTAAATCTTTATCCTTTCTTCAGGCTCCACTTGATCCTATTTCCTTTCTCTTGCCTATTGGAAGTGAGAATCCATTAACATCCTTTTCACTCAAGTGAGAAGTCCAAATTCCTAAACATGGAATCCAAAGGTTCTTTACAATATGTCTCTTTCCACCCACCTCTTCAGCCAAGTAAAATACTACCTTACCTGCAAACCTTAACTTAAATATATATGGAGAATCTCCCCAGTTGGTCAGCACATATCCTGTTTGTTAGATGTTTGTATGTCTTCTTCTATACTATAGTGCATACATGTACATATACATGCAATTATTATTCATTCATTCAGTCAGTGTATTATAGGCACTTATAATGTGCCAGTCAAAAGAACAGAGAATACTACCCTCAGAAAGTTTACAGACTAGTAGAAGAAAAGAAAAAAGAAAAATGCCACAGAAATTACAGAAAAGATGTTATCAGTGTTTGTGATACATCCTCCTCTCAGCTAAAAGGAGAGTTTTGATATATCAGCTCCTGGATCATCCTTCATAATGCAGAATCTCAGTAATTAGAGAACAGCCCGACAAACAAAAGAAGCTGGAGGAATTAATTTAAACTCAACAAGGAAAATGAACAGAAAACAGCTAGATTTGGATTGGATCAGAAATCTTTCAAGATGAGTCCATTGTTTTTCAATTAACAAAAGGCAGGGGTGAGGGATTAAATTACAGGTCTAGGGTGCCTATTTTCTGTTCATTTTTGAAAAATTAATCCTTCAGACAATAGAGAACAATCTAGTTTAGGGAGAAAAAAAAAACATACCTCAACAAAGAAGACTAGATTTTCTAAAAGAGTAGGGTGTGTTTTCAAGTTACCATCTTTAATTTCTAACAGATCACCTTTACATTTACTGAAGACATCTAAAAACAGAAAAATATTTCATGGTTTTATTCAGCCCTTGTTTCATGTTATTCTTAGGAACACAATGTACAATCTACTAGAGAATAAACAAATATTAATGCTTAATCAAGAAAGCCTCCCATCCACACACAATAAACCAAATACCAAAGAATATCTATGTTAAGCTCTTTTTTAAAAGCCACATGACTATTGCTCTGTTGTCTTTAAAATATAAAAGGTGGCTTTATAAATTACATATTCTAGTGTCGGAGCCTTTTCACAAATAGGCCATTGGCACAATAAAATTAAGATTCCCAGTGAATAATTTAGAAGAACTTGTGCCATTAAGGGCATGGTAGAGATGTACCTTCATAACAAATACCACATTTAATTCTTATAATCTTGATCATCTTTTAATTCTCATTCTTCATTTGGGCAATAAAATTAAAAACTGTTTAGAATCCTGAGGAGAAAGTCCCTTATAGATTTAAAATGCTTATGTGTATCCTTTTACCAAATAATTCCATTTCTAGGAATTTAATCACAAGAAAATACTCAATAAGTATCCAAACACTTGTGTTTCAAGATGTTCATTTCAGCATTGTTATATATATGCTGTTTATAAATACTGCTACAAATAACTCAAGTGTATATTATGTATTCGACGGAGGGAAGCATAAACAAATTTGGTACAATGATAAAAAAACAACCATGGAATATTATGCAGTCATTAAAATGAATGGAGTGTACATGTAGCTGAAATGGTAAGATATCCAAGATAATAGCAAATTATAGTCAGAAAAGCATATGTTACACCTTTTCATATGTTAAAGACAATTACCACTATGTATTTCCATATACACATGTATGGGCAGCTTGGGTGGTTTCTAGGCATATAGACTTCAAAGTGTCAACAGTTCTTACTCTGAGGAAATGGGGCTGGCAACAGGGGAAAGACCATACATAGCTGTGTACTATTTATATAATAGTTATCTATGGCTTTTGTAATAAAACCTTTTCAAGTTAAAAGCACATCTTAAACATATCAAAAGTATGCATTACTTTCAAATCCTCTTGCAAGTTCTAACTTAAAAAAATGAGCTATTATCAGACAATCAGATACAAAAGGGGACACACAGTAAGAACGCTTACCTTTTAACTGTTCTAGTAAAGACTTAAGAATATTCTCTACTCGCTCCTGGATCTCTACTGTATCCTCTAAAATTGAAAAACAATGAAAAACATTCTTTTTTTTTTCTCGCAAGCTCAATACCTGCAAGCCACATGTAGGCAAAGACATTCTTTTCGCTTAAGAGACAGAGAGACAGAGACAAATGAAAGGAAAAGAAAAGAAAAACTGAGAAAAGATATAGGAAAAGATTTCTAGTCTAGGAGGACTATGTGTTTCAAATACTCCAAATGACAGGACAGGAAGTACAAACATTATGATTCAGAAGGAAAAAAACCCACCACAGCCTATAGAATATTTGTGATTCTCACTGGTTTTAGAGCTTAGAAAGAAACTTTTCTCCACAAAGTTGAAAATTTCTTTTTTTTAAAAAAAGAATAGTTTATTGCGCAGCCGGCAACCTATGAACCAGGAGGTCATGGTTCCATTCCCAGTCAAGGGCACATGCCCAGGTTGCAAGCTCGATCCCCAGTGTAGGTTATGCGGGGAGGCAGCCAGATCAATGATTCTCTTTCACCACTGATGTATCTATTTCTCTCCCTTCCTCTCTGAAATCATTTTATACACACACACACACACACACACACACACACACACACACACTAATTTATCCATTTTTAAAGAGAAAAGGGAGAGGGAGAAAGAGAGAGAAACATCAATGTGAGAATGCAACATTGATCAGTTAACTCCTGTACGCCCCCATCAGGGATTGAGCGCACACCTGGGGATGTGCCCATGATTGGGAATCTAATAGGTAATCTCCTAGTGCACAGGATGATGCCCAACCAACTAAACCACACCAGCCAGGGCTAAGGACTTCATTTTTAAATAAAGAATTCAATCTGAAATCTAAAAACAGTGTAACAAATCAAGAATTTATTCAGCTTTAGAACTTAATAAGATTTCAAATATGGAAAGAACTTAAACTTCTAAAATATTACTTTATAACCTTTGAATGTACTTTCCTGTAAGCCAGACATTTCCAGAACAGCTTCCAGCTTCCATCTCCTTTAAATTTTTTCAAATAGTGAGTTATAGATATTCTGTCGTATTTACTAAGTGCAATGTTGCAATGACAAAGACCCACTAAATAGACTCATGCAAACATACACTTACCTAAACCATTGGTATCCAGCTCATAAATATCACAAACAAGATAAAAAGAACTGGTCTGACACTGAGAACAGCCAGAATTAAGGAATCCACCCATTCTGGTAGGCACAGGACCAAGGAAAGGATACTGAAAAAGAAAGGAATAAAGTGATGTTCTTTAAATTCATATAAAGTAAGAAAACAAATGTCTGTAACTAATGGATAAAAATCTATCTTAGTGATTAAGTTACAAACCACTGATCAGCAAACTATAGTACCCTCCCCCCCTCCACTCCCACCTAGCCTCTTTATCCACAGGGAATACATTCCAAGACCCCAGTGGATGCCTGAAACTATGGATAGTATCAAACCCTGTATATACTATTTTTTTCCTATACATACATACCTATGATAAAGTTTAATTATAAGTCAGACAAGAGATTAATAACTATAATAAAATGGAAAAATTATAACAATATAACAATGAAAGTTAAGTGAATGTGGTCACTTGTTTTAAGGAACTCCTTGCTTAAGTCTTAGTATAAGATCAGTGCTTTTGGGAGCAACACATTGCCAGCAATCAAAACATGTATTTTGCATTAAAAAAAAAACCCACAAAAAAACATGTATTTTGCTTATGTCTTCCAACCTATAATTTAAGCCTTTTCTACCTTAACTAAGCACTTACCACATACTGTGGACATAACTTTTGCAATTTGAGGTGCAACAGAAAAATAGCACAAATTTCTTTTTTTTCTTCACAATTTTATGGATGGAATATTGGTTCTTACTGGAGATCTTAGCAACCTCAGCATAAGACTTTTTTTCTTTCCTTATTAAATTGTGAACTTTTATCTTTTCACTTAAAAGGAAGCACTTTATGGCTTCTCTTTGGCATTTCCAAATTGCCAGCATCACTACTCTGTGCTTTGGGACTACTAAGTAAAATAAGGGTGACTTAAAACAAGCAGTGCAGCCGAAACCAGTTTGGCTCAGGGGATAGAGCGTCGGCCTGCGGACTGAAAGGTCCCAGGTTCGATTCCGGTCAAGGGCATGTACCTGGGTTGTGGGCACATCCCCAGTAGGAGATGTGCAGG